TAGAATTTTTACTAGTAAAAATTGCATACCTTTTTTATAACATCTATTGAAAAGTTGTGATTTTTGAGATGTGTCACTTGTATTGTGCATCATCGGTACAGTATAACCGGTGTCACGTAGCAGCGAAAGCTGCTGATTAATTGGGCAAATCAAAAACACCAATAAAACATCTAAAAACGTAGGCTTCTGAGACCGGAGTCAATGGATTCCTTACATTATTTTCGATTGCCTTGCAGCTTAGTTTGGGCCTAGGAAACATTCACATACTCAGGGTTCAGCCAGAGTACTTCTGCTTTAAGTAGGATCAGCCCAACATCAGACCCGACGGATGGGGGTTTTGTTTACGGCGCTACTCCGGAACACGCCTACTATTTACTTTACACGTATTGTAATATCATTATTCTTTGGAATTTATTATTCTGTGGAATTAGTATCATTGTTGCGGGTAGATGAAAGGTCTTGATCTTACATCTTGACTTTGAAATAATGTAAATGAAAATCTCTGAATTTTTACAATGCGAATGCAAATGTTCAATTACTTTTAAGCGTCTAGAAAACTGAGTTTAGCTGTCAGTCTGGATGAATAGGGGTAACGTCAATAGCGTGGAGATCCAGTGTTTGAATGCCAGTGCGGTGAAAACAAAATCCGTTTGGAAATCCTTTTTAGAGACATGTAGTATTATTATATTGCTTAGTCTTTACAAATAATACGCAAATGTATGGGATATGGTAGCACTACAGTTTATAACGGATAAAAAATAGCGTTACTTTTTTTATTCCTAGTGAATATATTAATATTCATTTGCTATTGATCATTATTTTTTGTAATGTTTTATTCAATGAAGTGCATATGATGCACAGTAGAATGGTGTTATAAAACTTACTTCACTTGCAGTTTAACAAAAATTATTTAATTATTTTGTCTGTATAAAATTGATAATATTTACTTTAATTCATTCATTTTCACTTTCTCGTTGAACTCCTGGATACCTTCTGAGACTAGAGTTTGGTATACGTCAAATAGCTTTGAAACTTATAACTTTGCTATTGTGTCTTATTATTCAAATATTACTGAGGAGAGAAGACGAACTTACGAGAGTATGATATCTCAGGTTTATCAAACTCTCGAAAGTTGTCCAGGACAAGAATTTTAATAGGGAATTTTTATTAGAGAAATCTGGAAGAACATAGGAACCCTTGATCTATTGCAAAAGGAAGAAATGGACGTCCTAATTAAATATAGTTATACTTGAAAGAAAATGATTTAATTTTGTAAATTTTAAACTAGGTTTGTCATATGTTTCCAGAAAGCGTCAGATCAGCTGCGTTGTAATTTTTGTGCTCTATACCTTACGATTATGGTGAAGATGTTTGCACAAGTGTCTACTGGGGTATTGTTTTGCTCTCTATGCAATTGAAATTATAATATTTATTCAATCTGAAGAAAATGTAGATGCAGCGGAGAAAGTATTTCTGCCACATATTTCTATCTAGTGTAATTATTAGTATTAATGTATCAGAGAAAAGTGTTTCGCTAGACACAGAAATGACATTAACTGTTTATTGAATAACTATGACAAAAGTAATATCTGACGTGTTCAATTATACGAAAAAAAGTAAGTAAATCAGAATTAATTATTGTTGTCTTACTACTTACTTTATTTTCAAATTTTGTAAATAATATTTTTCTTCGACATAACCCAAAGTTGTATTTTGTAATTGAGACTTGTACTTTTCATGTAGTACGTACTTTTTTACATTTGCTCATTATATATGTGACACATAATGTTACTTCTAAAAAATGTGAAAGTTGGGAGCAAGTGAAATCACCTGAATTAATTGATATTTTGTATTATTTACGTATACTATTTGCTGTGACGGTGAAAGTCTTTGAAAGCAATACAATCCCTATATTTTCAGTTGTTTAGAAGGTCCAGTAAAAATGTTGACTCTCAGGATCCATAACTGTTTGTCTGTTGTCATTCTACAAAATCTCTGCGGATAAATGAAGTCATGCAATGGTATTCAAAGCCATTTCAAAGCACAGTATTTGCAAGAAATATTATTTTATTTCTGGAAGTGAAGGAACGAACTGTTGCGAGAAAAGGCAGCATCATATTCTCTGTATTAAAATCAGTATAGTACAGCAAAGACAGCTTGAAAAAAGAGCGTAAATCGCGTTTTACAGGGTCAATTTTTCGTAACTTTTCTGCACAGAAAATATATGCAAAAGGGACGTTCATTTCTGTGCGGTTGTGTTTCGGTATCAAAACTGGATAAACGAGAAGGAGCGTTTCACAGGGTAATTTCGTTTTCTGCTCGTAATCGTCACACAAATATTTTCTCTGGACGCAGCAAAAAGCGCTGCATGTGAAACAGTTGAATATTACATTTACGGTAACAAATTATGTTAATTTAGAACTGAGTACGGAGAGAAACGACATTAGAACAGAGTACATGTTTTATTTCTCACTACATAACTCAATTGAACACATGGAATACTCTCGAATCTGTACAAAAGGAACCACACGCATAGCAAACCAGAGCGGATTCCGAAAAGTGACGCCAGGACCGGGTGGTCAGACCAGATGAAATCTGTTCTTAAAATTAATGCATGCGTCATTTTCCTGATCAGATTACATTCCGTCTGACCCGTCACTTTTCTGCCCCGATGAAAAATGCGTAAAAAATGCGCATGTAAAAAAGTCTTAGTGCGCGGGCACTCGGAAGTGCAGCAAGCGAAGTGCAGGGAAGCGCTCGGGGCCGCGAGTGAGCGCCACTGATCGCCAGAGAGGAACGATTCGTGTCTCATCTCACTACGAGCTCCGGCGGCCAAAAGGCAGCCTTCAGGTAAAAACCAGTTCTTTGGTCTAGTGTGAAGGCTGCCATTTAGGATTGTTTAGTTGGCGGTCTGCGCTGCTGGTGATGGGAGTCCGTCACGAAGCGCCACAGCAGCGCCACTGCGCCGGACGTATGGATACCTCCATTTAAACCAATGCGCGCTTCGCCCGCCTCACGCGCAGGCACCTCGCCGCGCTGCTCGGCGCTGGCGGGCGGAGGCGCGACCGCGGCCGGCTTCCAGCGCGCTCTGCGGGACGAAGCTGCGCAAGTGCCGACGACCCCCCCCGCCAGCGCGACGCGCACGCCACGCTCGCCGGCGGCCGCACGCCCGCGCCGCCCACGCGCACGAAACAGCTGCCGCTGCGCGCCGCCTCGCCCCCCGCCGCCGCCCGGCGGCAGGGCGAGGCCGGGGCGCGAACGGAGCCTCCAGCGGCAGCAGCCGGGCTTCAAGGCGGCAAGCGCAGCGGACGCGGGCGCGGCGACGATATCGAGCGCCAAGCGGCGGGCGGCCGGGCGGGCTGGAGTAGAGCCGGGCTTCAAGAAGGCGCGGCAGCGATTGTGGGCCGCTGGGCGAGCGGGGCGCGTTCTTACGAGGCAGGAGAGTGAAGCGGCGGCGGGTTCAGGAGGCAGCGACAGCGACGCGAGCGCGGGCGGGCGGAGGCGTGCCGATGCAGCCGGGCGGCGAGGCGGCGTCGGGGCGGGCGGGCGGGCGGAGCAGGCGGGCAGGCGGCGCGAGGAGCGTG